TCTCCAGGGCACTCTGACCCTCACGCCAGGGCCAGGAATGCTGAGGATGTCGCTACTACTGCCCTCTCCTTTCACTTTGGGAAGGATCCACTTAATACCTTAGGAGAATGACCCTCCTCTTCCCAGTATTTGAAGGGACTGTCACCAGGAGGCGTATGGCTGGACCTCAAAAGGCACCCCAAATCACTTTCAAACACTTGGTCTTTTTCAGAGCAGACATTTTTAATACATGCTGAAGATGCATCGGCAGCATTTTCTTCACTCACCCCCACACCAGCCCCGCGGGGTGCAAGGCACTGCTGTTAGCCCCTTACAGCTGAGGCCACTGGGGTTCCTCGGGGCGGGGACCCACTCATGACCACGGTGGACTCGGCAGCTGAGCTGAGGCCAGGAACCTGCTGCTGGCTGCACGTCTGGACAGCAGCGAGGGCGCCTCCCACTGGCTGGGATGTGGGGAGCAGACCGCTGGGCCCCGCCTGCCCCCACGCAGGCCTGCACTCCTGATTGCACTGGAGGCTCAGTGCCTGCCGCTTGGTCCCCAGCAAGTCCCTCCTTGCCCTCGCAGGCACTCTCCTGCCCTGCATCTGCTGCTGCTCTCGGGTCCCGCCCCTAAGGCCTGCACCTCCCCAGTTCCGCAGCCTGCAGTGCCACCCCACTGCCGCACTCTCCAGCTGCCAAGCACAGGCACTCCCGCCCTGCTGCACGCCCTGCTCCCTCCTTCCGGCTGGTGCCTCAATGCCACCCTGCCCCTCTTGCCTCACTGCCCACAGTCAGGTCACTCAGCTACTGCACCCCGCCAGCAACCAGAGAACCATTACCCGCCGGCAGTGTCACACGGTCACCAGTCACATTGAACCAAGTGCTTGTCGAAGGTGTGAGGAAGTGGTGACTCCTCGGTTTCTGTGGCTGATCCTGTACAGAGATGACGAGGTGCCGGGGAAGCCTTCTGAAGTGCTTAGTGACGTCTGCATCCTGTATCCACCCTTCATCCCAGAGCCCCATCCTGGGGGCACACACCCCCAGACAACTCTTAGGCTCATAGAGAAAGCGGGGCAGGACTGTCCAACCACAGTATGTGCCATGGCAGAGAGATGGCAGCCACCTAGAGGTCCTCCAACAGGGGAGTCAGCTGTCCTGTGCACGTGTCTTCCTGGAGGACACATAGGACTCCTCATCCTACCATCTGACAACCCTGTTACTGAAAGGGGGATTCAAGGCCCCTCCCCCAGAGCCCCAGTGGGAGCTGTGACTGCACCAGGCAATGGCACGCAGCAGGGGACGCTCTGGATGCCTGGCCAGGACCCACCTCTCCCTCTGCCTCCTCTCTGCCGCCCTCCCTCCCTCTTCTCTTTCCCTTCCTCCTTCCCCCCACATCCTCCCCACTTGCTCTGGGAACGCCTGTTGTGTGGAAGCCATGTCATGTGGAGAGGCCCCACATAGGGTCCCTCAGCTGACACCAGCATCAGACCCCAGACAAATCAGCTTCTGCCTTCAGGTGGCCGTGCCTCCCTCCTGGGCGTTCTTCCCCAGCTGAGGCCCAGCCCCCATGCTCTGGAGATGGGCCACCCCCAATCCAGAACCCCTGAGCATGCCAACAAATAGTTGCTGCACACCACTGAGTTTGGGGGAAGTGTGGGATGCTGCTCGAGTGATCTGATCTGAACGACGGCACATGAGATGGCTGGTTAGCACATAGTGGTTAAGGAGTCATTTCTACCTTCATCAGCATGGATAGAGCTCACATTTGTAGTTTAAGGTGAAACAATGAGAGCTAGAGGTGAGAAATGAAAATGAATACACCAGAGTCAGTATGTGGGGTGGCGAGGAAAGGACAAGTGGTGGTGGAGTGAGACACGGAGGAAGCAAAAATAAGGTGAGATTAAAAGCGGGCATTCTCTGACATCATCCCGAACGGAAAAGTCTACCAACAAAACAAAACAGGTGATGCCGACTTGTGATCTGTGCTCTTGGGATAATTCCACTAACTCATTCCCTTGGGTCTGTGGGGCATTTTTGGCTATCAGCCTTGAGCTAGGCACTGGGGACACAAGTGACAAGGTGCAGTCCCTGCTCACTGTCCGGCCGAGAAGGGACCATTCGCTGGGACCCTGCAGTGGTCCCACTTACTGGGAGACACACGGAGTTGGAGGTGTTGTAAGGGACAATAGCAGGGACAGAGAAGAAGCAGGAAAGCCAGCTGTGGCCCAGGGGTGTGGCGTGTCTCTCACAGATGCAGACCCAGGAACAGTCACCCTGTTGTCTTTGAGGCTCAGCTTCTCCCCACCTGGGTCCTTCAGCCTCAGGATTCTGCCTAGTGCCCAAAGGTCACCAGAAATGTGGGCTCTGGCCCTAAGAATGCCTCCACTTAAGGCCTTGACATTTCAGGGTCAGTCTCAGAGTGTCCACACCACTAGAGACTGTCCTGTGGTTGAGAAGAGCCGGCACTCAGAGGTGCCTGCTGGGTCTGGCCGGCAAAGCCTCCGCAGACAGTCCTGCCTCTTCTTGCACCTTGATGCCGGGCTGTGCTCCGGTCTGGACCAGCCCAGCACTGAGAGGTTAGGGGGGCCAGTGAGCGCTGGAGGGGCTTGTTCACACCCTCCTCCCGCCCACCGACCCTGCACTGCAGCGGTGACCATTTGCCGGTTCCCAGCACCCTGGCCATCACAGACCTAGAGCAGCAGCATGGGGACCCTGGAGCGTGCCTGGCTGCGGGGACGTGCCTGCCACAAGCCCCAGAAGGCCGGTGCTGGGGAATTTAAACCCACTCCCCTCCACTGAGGACCAGCCTGTCTCCTCACCTCCCAAACCCCGCAAGCATCCCAGAGGCAGTGGGGAGACACTGGGAACGCGGAGTGCCTGAGTCCCAGCCTGGCCGTGCCTAGCCTCCAGCACAGCAGCCTAGCGAAGGCAGGAGCACTTCCTACCTTCGGTTCTCAGGAGAGGGACCTGAGGATCAAGGAGGGGAGGCGCCCAGCCCAGGACCACACACACACCCAGGAGGTGCTGGGAAACAAGGGAGTGAGCAACCTCTCAGGCCTGCTAGAGGACAGAGAAGGGTGCTAACAGGGGGCCCGCGGCAACCTGATCAGAGTAGCCGGTCATCTGGAAGCCTTTGTCTTTTTATCTGGCCTCGGTTTCCCCACATCAGAAGTGCCCTCAGATTACATGATGTGATTATCTCTGACCAGTTTCTCCCCCAAAGGGATGGGGAGATCCGTTCTTCCTTGCCCCAGTCCCCTCTGGCTGGGTTCCTCTACCTCTACGAGGCTCTCTGACCCTGGCACCCTCGGAGCGCGGTGACAGGGGGACCGCCAGTCTCCCCCAGGACCCCAGCTTGCTCCACCTGGGCTCTGAGTCCTCATCTATACGACGAGGGAAGAGACACCGCCTCTTCCTCTACCTCGAGGCTGTCGTCAAATAACCAGTCAGTCCCTCTCACTGACCACCTTCGCCCGTCCTGGGGTGGAACGTGAGGGCCACAGGAGATGGGCCTGTCCTGTGGTCCTGCTGACTGCAGAAAAGCCGCCCTCCCGCCCCCGCGGGGAGGAACGCGCGGCCCGAGAGCGGGCGGCTGGGGGCAGCTGGCTCCGGCAGGCAGGCCGGAAGACGCCCCGGGCCGGCTTTTGTCTCCGCAGCTGCAGGCGCGCAGGGTGCCCGCCAGCCAGGCCTGGGCCCTGCTGCTTCGCGCTCCCACCCGAGTCTGGGCGTCGGTGCCGGGAGGGCCCTAGGCCCAGAGGGTCCGGGTTCCAGGCCTCCCGGGTCCACTTACCATTCGAGGTCGTCTCCTCTCCTGTTTTTCCCTCTGGAAAAGAGAGTTGATGCTCCCTCCAAAGTGCTTGTTTGGCAAATTAAAGAGAAGCGGAAGCCCGGGGCCTGTAGCCGCCCTCGGAGAGCGGAGAGCGCGGGCTGCGCGTTAGTGGACCGGGGGCCCTGGCTGGCACGGAAGGCTGCGTGTTTCTCTCCGCGATAACCCGCGTCGCGTGAGGTTGGCTCCACCCGCGCGACCGCGCGGGGACCCGGTGACTCGGCCGTCATCCGCTCCGAGCGGAGCAGGGTCATGAGGTCATTCCGGAGCGGCCACAGCTTCGAGGAGCCCCAGCGTGTTCCGGGTGCCCTTTTGTCACCACGCTCCCTGCTGCAGAAACGGGAGGGGACTCTCCACTGGTTTGCAGCCATAGAAAAGGAGGCTCAAAGAGGCATGGGGCCTGCCCGCCGCCGCGGGGGCGGTGGCTCAGGCCCGGCTCCTAAGGCCCGGGCCTCCCGGGGCGAGACCGCGGGGACCCGCTCTCCGTTAGCACGACATCGGGCGCTGGGGTGGGGCGGGGTGGGCGGCAGCATTTCCTAACACGCTGAGACCGCCTGGGAACTGGGGCGTTCTCTCGCGCTACATTTGGCATCGAGAGCAGATTTCATTAAGTGTCAATATTAAACGATGCTACAATTTTGTAGCCTAGGCATCCGGGGTCTTGAAAATAATGTGACCCAGCCTTTTGCGGTTTCTTGGAAGCCGGGGGTCTTCACGACCCCTCTGCACACGCACATACACACGAGCGCGCGCGCGCACACACGGTTACTCGCGCTGGGTCTGACACTCTCCCCGCGGCATGGTAATTTAAGCTCTTGCAGGGCAGTGATTGGTCAGTCTGTTCTCGTCGGGGCCCTGCAACCAATAGGCGGCCGCCCTGCAGAGGCCCCACCCTCCCCCCCACACCCGCGCAAGTGGCTCGGGCTCCGGGAATGGACCGCCCGGGGCCGGACTCACGGCGACCCCTTCCTGGGCCCCGGCTACCCGCCCTCGGCCGCGAGGCCGCCTGCGCGCCTGGGTCCGGCGACGTCTCCAGCAGCGGCCGCGCTCCGGGCCCGCCACGGCGTCCGGGGGCTGAGCTGGCAACGTCCTGGCCCGCGCGCCCCGCCCCTGCTGGCCCCGCCCCCGCCCCGCCCCCATCGGGGCCGACCCGGGCGGCGACCGATGCGCGGACGAGAAAGGCTATCGAGGCTGCTTCCCCGCTGGCTGTCGGCGCGCGCCCGCTCCCGGCCCAGGCCAGCCCCGTGCGGGGTCCGCCGCCTGCCCCGCGGAGCCCGACGCCAGTGCTCCGGGCAGCGGCTCCGGGCAGCCGCGCACGAGCGTCCCAAGCGGGGACCAGGACTGGGCGCGCCCCGGGCGCCAGGAGCCCCGAGGTCCCGGGCAGAGCCCGGCGGACCCGCGGCCGCGATGCCGGACGAGCTGACGGAGCCTGGGCGCGCCACGCCGGCCCGCGCCGCCTCCTTCCTCATAGAGAACCTGCTGGCGGCCGGGGCCAAAGGCGCTGGGCGCGCGGCCCAAGGCGGCGGGGGCCGCGAGGACGGGCTGGACGACGACGGCGACCCGGAGGACGGGGACGCAGAGCAGGCGCGGCGGCGGCGGCAGCAGCAGCAGCGACGGCGACAGCTGCGCGCGGGCGGCGGGCCCGGCGGGGAGGCGCGGGCCCGGGCCCTGCTCGGGCCAGGCGCGCTGGGCCTCGGGCCCCGGCCGCCCCCCGGTCCCGGGCCGCCCCACTCTCCGGGCCGCGGCGGCGCGACGCGCTGGTGCCCGCGGGCGCGCGGTGGGTACGGAGGCGGCCTCAGCCCTGACAGTGAGTTGGGCTCGCGGGGGGTGGGCCCGGCGGGGCGGCCCGGCTTCTCCCCGCGCGTTCGCTCCGCGGCTTGGACTTGGTGGGCGCCCCTTTCTGGGAGTGACAGGCTCCGGTCGGCAGGGCCCCCGCAGGTCCCTGGCCGGCGGGTCTGAAGACCCACTGCCCGGGACCGAAGCGGGGCGGTTTCCCAGGGTCTGGGCTTCACCCACTGCCAGGCTCTGCGGGTTCCCGGGGGCTGGAGAGCCTGCGGAGAGGGTCTGGGGACAGGGGACAGCTGACAGTCGGCTGAGGACGAGAACGCGGAGGGCGAATGAAGGCAGAGACGGGAATCAGAAAGGGTGGGAGAACAGAAGGAAGGTGGAGGGAGACGGAGTGGGTGGGGGAGAGGATGCAGGGAGAACAGGGGGGCCACAGGGAGGGGGTGCAGAGCCAGGAAAGAGGAGGACAAAGTTGGGGGTCAGACACGGAAAAATAAAGGGCGTCGGGCAGCAGCAGCCAGTGGCGGGGGTCCGGGTGGGGAGGGGAGCAGTCTCCCGCGGTATCTGTGCCCCAAAGGGCCACCTCCGCGGAGATGGAGAGCAGCAGACAGGCTCTGGGCCCAGCAGGCCTTCCGCTTGGTCCTCCCGGCCCCCCGCGGCTGTGCCGGGCAAGAAGGGAGCCCTCCTCAAGTCCCCAGTCCCACCCCACTTTCCCGTTTCCGCCCCCCCCTTTCCCCTGCCTTTGTTCCCTGCTGAGTACTCAGAAGCTGGAGGTGGGGGGGTCTCAGCCCCAGAGGCCACTTGCCCCTCTTTCCTGGGCATTACAACTCCCTCACTCAGCGTTCTGGTCCCCTCCCAGGGTCACTGTCTCCCTTGGGGACCTGCCCTTTGGAGGAAGACCCCTGCCCTTTGGAGGTTCCCCAGGGTCTGGGCTTCACCCATTGCCGAGGAAGAAGGGAAGCGATTCCAGACCTGGTCCCCAGGGTTTGCCACGGACCCCGGTCCCACAACGCACATACTGTGAAGCCAGCTGGGGACTTTTCCAGGCTCTTGCTCTGAAACCCATTCAGCTCTATGTGCATGTTAGTGTGTGCCTGGGGGTAGGTGGGCCAGACCCCTCTCTGATGTGGGAGTGCTTCCCCTGAAAGGGGCTCACATCTCAGAGCCCACACACAGAAAGTCTGGGGCTCCCACCCTCTTCAGGTAAACTCAAGCAGGCCTCAGGGGTTTCCCTGAAATCATGGGATCAAATTTAGTGCCCTTCTGAAAAGGGTCTCCTAGGGTGAAATGTGTCCCCATTGTCCCCCGGGGTCTATCTCTACCTGCAGCCCCACAGGCAGCTCTGGAAGGGGAAGCTCCTTTTTTCGTGCCATGCGGGTTAGGCTCCTGGTTTTGCAACAGCTTGGTGTGTTGTGGCAACGCATGGGCCTCTGTGAATCTGGGGTTCTGGGTGTTGAGGGGAGGCAGATGCTCCCCAAAGCTCGTGCCACACATGCCAGTGTGGAACCTCACCCTTTTTCAAGCACCGTGAGTACTCACACCACCGGGGTTGGGCAGGCGCACAGTTCCATGGGCACGAGGGGGTAGCCCAAACTATACACAGAAGCCCTATGTAGGGGTGTGCCAATGCAGCAGACACACTGTGTGCGCACCGCTGCCTTCTGAGGGCTGGCCAGGACACATTCTACCTGGACTGGACCCGTCAGCTTTGCATGGGAGGCTCAGGCCATGGCAGAAGGGTGATCTGGCCTGAGTTGGCCTCGTGGGCTCCAAAGTCAGGCCGCTGCCCTCTTCAAGCCAGGCGGGGAATCTGGACAAGCACCTGAGTCCTGGGCAGACTCTCACCTGGAGGCACCATCCCTTGGGGGGCGTCTCTTCACCTTGGGGAGATCAGGTGGAGCTCAGTACTTGAAACACAATCTCAGGGGTCCCTTGTGGACTGCTGTACCCCTAAACCTGCAGGCTTACTACCTCCTGGCTTCCTGCGTCTGGAGTGGGGGGGGCTGCATGTTTCTGCAGAGCCTCCTTGGCTTGACTCCCTTTGAGCGTGATTGTGGGGGAGCAGGTTTCTACGAGCATTTGGATTAGGGGTACAGGACATGGGGGTAAGGGGGTGTCTCCGAGTCACCTGGCTGGAGTTTTGTCTGGGGATTGTTTGCATTTGATTATTTCCATCTATGGGAATGCTTCTATGCAAGTGGGACTTTTGCATCTGCCACTGAGAGTATGGGGGGGGGCTTGGCGTAGGGTGGTGGGTGCTGGGGAGTAGGGGGTGTCCCTGTGCTGTTCTCCAGTGCGTGCATTTCCCCTGAGGGCATCTGTCCTGGGAGGTGCGCCTGGGGGCTTCCATGATTTAATGTGAAGCCAGTGGTTACAGGAGTCAGGTCTTATTTTTGTTGTTCGCATTGTGTGTTTCCCTTCTCTCCCCGCCGTGCGGGTGTGGATGTGCAGTTCTGGGTGTGAGTGGCCAGCATGTTGGTTCGGAGTGTCACGGTGGTCTCCAGTTCACCCCTGTGGCTCTGCCTTTGTCTAACCCCCCGGGACTGCCGACTGTAGGGCCCTGTGCAGGAAATACCTTCCTGCTCCTGGCTCTGGGTGACCTCAGGGGGGGTGGCAGCTGGCCTCTCTGATTGGGTCTGGGGATCAGCCCCCAGCACCAACCCGTGTGCTGCTCTCTCCCCTGCAGCCAGCGACCGGGACTCACCTGAGACCGGCGAGGAGATGGGCCGTGCCGAGGGAGCCTGGCAGCGGGTCTCCGGGCCGGGATCGGTGCAGCGGGAGGCGGCGGAGCTGGCGGCGCGGGGCTCGGCGGCCGGCGCGGAGGAGGCGGCGGAGCTGGCCGAGGCCCCGGCGCCGGCGGGGGAGGCGCGCGTCGGCGGCCGCAAGAAGAAGACGCGCACCGTCTTCTCGCGCAGCCAGGTCTTCCAGCTCGAGTCCACCTTCGACCTGAAGCGCTACCTGAGCAGCGCCGAGCGCGCCGGCCTGGCCGCCTCCCTGCAGCTCACCGAGACGCAGGTCAAGATCTGGTTCCAGAACCGCCGCAACAAGTGGAAGCGGCAGCTGGCGGCCGAGCTGGAGGCGGCCAGCCTGTCCCCACCGGGCGCGCAGCGCCTCGTCCGCGTGCCGGTGCTCTACCACGAAAGCCCCCCGGCCGCGGCTGCCGCCGGGGCCCCCGCCGCGCTGCCCTTTCCGCTCGCCCCCGCGGCGCCCGCGCCACCCCCGCCGCTGCTCGGCTTCTCTGGGACCCTCGCCTACCCGCTGGCCGCCTTCCCGGCCGCCGCCTCCATGCCCTTTCTGCGGGCGCAGATGCCCGGCCTGGTGTGAACCACCCCCCTCGCCGGACCCACTCCCGGTGACCGCTGGGGACCTTTGCGGAAGGGCAACGGCAGCTGTGGCGCAGATGGGCCGGCAGGGAGGGCTGGGAGCTCCTACTGCCCCTCGGGAGTGCAGGCTCCCGGCGGGGTCCAAGGCTCCATGGGAAGCTCGTCCAGAATGTAATAGGGGCGCCTTGGACTATGTATGGCCCACCCAACCAGGTGCAAGCGTGGGTCCTTGGCAGGCGTGAGGCATCACAGAGAAACTGTAGGCCACGCAGCCCAGAGCCCCACGGGGCAGGCCTTAGCCTAGGGGCAGATTCAGCCACCCTCTGGGAGCCAGCGCCCAGCCCGGCAGCCCACAGCAAAGGCAAACCACGGACAAGCTGTCCCCACACGGCCGGCCCTGGTCACCCCTGCGGCCTTGACAGTGGGCCACGCAAAGAGAGAGCCCTGGGAGAGTCCCTGTGGAGGGGAGGGCAAACAGCCTGCCAGGGGGCACTTCTGCCCGATCCTCCTTTCCGAAGACAGGGTCAGACTGAGGTTTCTCTCCTGGCTGCGGGCGGCCTCTGGTTCTGGCGAAGATTTTTTTTTTAATGAATCTACTTATTTGCGTATGGAATAAAAAGGGACATTTTCTGGACGCTTCTGCTGCTCTGTGATCTCTGGGCGCAGGAGGTGGGCGCTCCTTCCTGGAGCACTTTCTAGTGTTCACCGCTGGGACAGCTGGGAGGAGCAGTGGGACCTGGGGCTGCACTCTCAGATCCCTCTTCCCTGGACCGGGACACCTCCGGGAACCACGGGGAAGGGGAGGAGGGGTGGGGCAGGGGAGGAGCCCTTGTATTCTTTGTATCTTGTGTCCGCAGTCCTGGGGCCTCCACAGAAACTAAACGCCATGAGTCGGGTAAAGCAGAGCGTCCCCTGGTCCTTCCTGCACTAGAGTTGAGAGATATCTCTAACCATACAGGTTTTTTTTTTTTCTGGCCAAAACAAAACACTGGCACTCCCAGGAAGGTCAGGTGGGCCCTGGGTCTTCTGCGGGCTCTGGCGAGCGAGCGCGGGCACTCAGACCCAAGGGAAGGCCCCAGCTCAGGGCGAAGTTATGGGCTCTCAGAGAAAGCTTACTCCACTGGTCTGGCTGACTGTGGCCACCTGGCCACTCTCAGCTCCAAGCTGACCTATTGCAAGGGAGATGGGGCCGCTGCATGGGGAGGGGTGCTTTACTGACTCTGCCTCTAGGGCCTGAGGGGAGGGTCGTTTGGGGCTTGAAAGGATCACTTCTAAAGGCGATGAAATGTAGCTCCATGGAAACCTATCCATCCCCTGGCTAGTCTAGCTGTGTGCAGCAACGGGGCCGCACTCCCGCCAGCCTGACGCTCTCAGCAGTGGCGCCAGGATTAGGTGCCTCGGAGGTCTAGTTCTCCCCACCCCAACACCCCGGGTGGGTGGTACCTCTCTCTGTCCGCCCCTGCCCTCCAGCTCTCTGACCCAGAATCATCTCCTGCCAGCCTCCTTCCTTTGGCTCCCTGTGCCCCGAGGCCAGGCCTGGGAAAGCTCCAGTGGCATCGCAAGAGGTGGGCATCCGGCAGGTCCCACGGTGTCCCTTCTCCACCCAGCCTGCCAGCCCACTGCGCATTACAGCTGCCACCGCAACGCGTCTGCCCTCCTGGCTGGCTTTCCTGTCCCTGGGAAGCAGGGGGCTGCCCCCATGCCGCTGCTTTTCTCAACAACAAAGCTAGTTTTCACTCATCTTTGTCTAGGAGGGACCTACAATCTCCAGTAGAACGAGTTTGCTGCTAGTTACTCCAAAGACCTGGGCTCCTGGTCAGCAGCCACAGGGCAATGGGGTTGCTCAGGAGGTCCCTCCTGGCCACTCAAAGGGCAGCACAGACCCGCCTCTCCTTGTCTCCTCCCCCGCACGCCCTCTCCATCAGGCCCTCTCGGAGGAACCCCTGGCTCAGGCTCCATCCAGGACCCTCGCCCTCTGCTTGGTCACTTTTGGGGCGGTCTCATGCAGTCAGAGGACGCATCACAGCCTGTCCTCCGGAGGATGCTGCCCCGCTTAGGCCTCCAGGCCAGCATAGGGTCTGTGGGCTCTCTGCCCCGTTCCCTCTGGGCACTAGAGCAGCGGCCAGGCAGTCCCACACTTTGTGGCACACAGCATCAGTGGTACCGGGCACTGCTTGTGGTCACGGGACTCTGAGACTGCTAATGTGACAGTTAACACCCAGGTTAATGGGGTTATTGTCACGGTATGACTACTTGATTCCACCATTTACGGCTGTGCAGGTGTGGTCCTGAGTGGGGCGGTGACCGCAGCTGCTGCTGAGTGGTTTGGTGCCAAGACCCCTGGTGGCTAGGTCTGCACCAGAGCTCCTCCCGCGGTGGCCACAGACCAGGAGCACACGGGCACTGCATCTAGAGCCTCAGCTCCCCACTGCGGGAAACAGCGAACTGCCGGCCACCCAGCCTGGGCCTGCAGCCCACGTCAAAGGGAGGAAAGGTCTGCCCAGTGTACATTCAGGCTAGGCTTGGAGAGCAGGGCTGTATCTTTCGATGCAATCAGTAGAAAGTTGGGCAGAAGAGTGGCTTCTGGGCCAGCCAGGCTCCAGCTCCAGTGGCTGGGACAGAGGGAGCAATGGAGGTTGCCCAGAGGTGCAGCCAGAGGCTGTCCCCACGTGGGAAGGCCAGGAGCGGGAGCACAGAGCCTAACGGGAGTGCAGAAAGTGGGTCCAAAACCTGGCTCGGGTCAGCTGGGCGAGCGGGCCAGTCCCCATAATTTTCCAGGGTCCTAGGTGTCAAACCAGGGGCAGCAGAGAGAACTGGTGTGTAACACACAGTCCAGGAAGCCCTTAGATGGCACGCCTCGCCCCAAGCTCCTGCACCATTGGAGCTCCAGGAATCTACGCACATCGGCTCTGCTCCTGGCAGAAGATGAATGGTTCCGGTTCCCCCACCCTGCCACCCCCAACAGGCTGCCTGCCTGAGCTTCAGGGTGCAGAGTCCCTGAGCCCAGACAGGTCCAACAGGCTGTGGACACCCAGGGGGACAGGCCCAGCCCTATTCCCCCAGTGACTTTAAGCAAGCCCCCTTTCTTCTCCAGGACTCAGTTTCCCTGGGACAGACCTGTGTGTAGGGGGGTGTCTGTAATCTGTAAACTCTCGGCTGACAAGGGACCTTAGTCAGCTTCTAGGGCCCACAGGTGTGAGACTGGGGCAGTGACCCATTCCCTCTAGGCTTCTCAGTCCCCTGCTGGGGTCCTACAAGAGCTGAGTGCCCCCCGCAGCAACTCTGAGAAGTTGGGGAATCAGCTCCTCTCCCAGAGCTTGCCCTTCCCTCTGAAGGTGGGACCCAGGTCCGGGACACCAGAGAGGACACTAGGCCAAGGAGGGCTTGGCCCTTCCTTGGGTCAAGGGCAAACGTGGAGTTGCAATCTGGCAGTGTTTCCCAGCCTGGTTCATGCTGCACATGGTACCGGGTCTGCTGGGAGCAGCGGGCTGGCTATGTTTCCTGCCCCCACCCCACGTTGCCCTGCCTGAACAGCCCCACCCGGGCCACTGTAGTCCCTGGGCTGCGAAAGCGGGCATCACCCAGGCTCATTCCTGTCCACCTCACCCAGAGCCCTGGTGAGGGATGGTGGCAACTGGCAATGGTCCTTCCAGTCCAGCCAGAGCACTGCAGGTCCTTACCAGGCACAGGTCAGGGGCGGTCAGTGGCTTCCAACCACTCCCTGAGCGGGACTGGCCTGGTGGCATGGGGAGGTTTCCCAGGGGCAGGACACCCGGGTCAGGCAGAATAGGTTTCCAGCTGGTCAGGTGAGCATCCGGAAGGAGGCAGGGGGCCAGGGGCTTCTCTTTTTTCTGTGTCTCTAAGTGTCTCTCCCAAGCATTCTTCATAGCCATTAGCTCCATCTGGCAGTTCTTGGAAAGGGAAACTGAGGCTCCAAGAGGGGCATAGACTCTGGGGCAGGGACCTGAGAGGTCACTCAGCCACTGAAGCTGTCATCTCCCTTTTCTCCACGTGGTGCCAGGGAGGTCGCTGCCCCACCCTGGGGCCCAACCCTACGTGGTAGGTGCCTGTCCCCGCAAGTCCCAGTGCTTAGGCAGGGTCCAGCTCTCCCTCCCGCCAGTCCCAATTATCTGCAGGATTCCCTTTGGTCTCCCTGCCTGTCCAGCGGCCATTTGGATGTCCACTAGGCTGCCTGCCTATAGCGGGGCTCTGGCTGGTAAGTGGGGTTTCTGTCTCCTGAAATCCGTTGGACAGAAGCATCATCTGGACCAGGTGAACCAAACCAGGTCCCCGGGGTGCCCCACCCCACAACTGGCTGTGAGGCCCTGCTGCCCTCTGGGGAAAAGGAAAGGCGGGCACACCCTCACCGGCCAACTGGAAAGGGGCCACCGTGGCCTGCAGCGCTGAACTCTGAATGTGGGATGGGCACGGGAGACAACGGCTCCAAGAGAAAATCAAGAAGACTGTGACACCCCGCGGCCTCCCTACCTGGAGGACCGACCAAAGGGTGGGCTGCACCCTCCTTGGCTTCTAAAGCTGTTGGCTTCCATTTTTGTTTATTTTTTAATTATAAAATTAATATTGCTTGCTATTTTCTGGAAATTGCACTAAAACTGAGACACTAATACATTGTTCGCATTTCCACCATTACAAGTCAACTGCTCCTAAGTGTTAGGCCAGGCAGTGGATTTATTGTGAGGGTGGCTTACAGCCTGTTGTGAATCTGTAAAAGTTCTTAACAGTTAAACATGTATTTACCGGTGAAATGATGAGATGTCTGCATTTGCTTGAAAATATCGCAACAAGAATAAATTAATTACGCAGTAAAAATAAAAGGGAGAGGGGAAGCTGGAGATTGGTCTGGAGTTGGGAACTGCTGAATGGGGCGTGGGTACATGGGGTTTCATTTCAAGGCTTCCTCTGCTTTGTTTTATATTTGACAACCTCCATAATAAAATTGCTTTTAAAAAGTGACTGCGGAGAAACATCGGGGTGCGTGCTCCTGGCGACGATCGCTGTGCCCCGGGCTCGGTCGCGGGGGTTCCATCCTGTGTGGCTCTGACCGCGCGGGTTTGCTTCGAGCTTACTCCGAACCTGAGCGTTAAAGCGGGTCTTTCGGGTCACTGCGGACGCGTTGCGGCCCCAAACCACCCTCCCTCCCACGCAGTTCCCGGCCTCCTGCTTTCCCTCCGGCTCCCCTGTGCCCCTGCGTTCCCCGCCCGGCGCGCCGGAGGCCGCAGCACCACCGCCCGAGCCTCGGAGACCTGCGGGGGCGACCCGGGCTGCAGGATGGCCGGCGCCGCCCTGGCCCCCGGCGCAGCGACCGATGCGGGCGCGATGTCCAGATGCCCGGGCCCTCGGCAGGCTTGGGGGCTGGGCCGGCGGCCGGCCTCCGTCTTCGGTTCCCGGAGCTTCCTTGGCGCTCTCGGCATCGCTGGGACGGCGGTGCTCAAGACCCCGGCAGAAGTAGGGTTAGGGGTCCCACGCTGGGCAGGAGGCCCTCACGTGTTTGGGGCTCCATCTGCGCAAGGCG